ATCTCCTCTCTTTCTTCAGATGTGAAAGTTGTGGACAAACCTGTCTAAGCACTGTGAGACTCCTGCAGCACAAGAGGCAATAGCAGAAATAGTAAGTATATCAATCAAGAAATTTAGCCGACATAAAGCAAAACTTTCAACTATTCGTCTAATCTCAATTTCCTATTATTTATACACAGGACAACTATAGCAGAAGAGGAGATATCAGAAGTCTGGCGACATATCAGTGACAGTGTGATTCCAAGAAATATAATTAGAGTACTCTGCAATAGAAAAACAACCTATGGAGGCACGCAAAGACATTTGACCCTCCGGTAGAGTTGTGTATGGCCCCCACATCCTGCAGGGCTTGAGGAAAATAACTAAAAATTCCAAAGCGTAAAATTGCATACTCGGTCTTATTTGTAAAAAGGCACAAAACACGCCAGACATACTTAAAACAGCTTTGAAAATGAGGATTACGGGTAACTCACTGCACCTGTGTTATATTTGGTTCATCAACTTTTGGTAGTACTATAGAAGAAATTCCGGAAAGGGTATAATTATCATTCATGATAAAATACTATCATATATTTTTTGGACAACTTCAATCTAGACCAGGGATCTCAAACTCGCGGCCTCAAAGAACTTCCAGTGCGGCCCTCGAACGCTTAACAATAATTGTAATAGTATTTTGGAAGTTTATTTTTATCTAAATGTAATAGATTTTTCAAACTTCACAAAGAAAACAATTTACTGAAAGTAGTTTTGGAATATTAATTTTTTTTGGCCACATTTTGACCCAATTAAGAATACACATCAAGCTTGCAAAAGAATACTTGAATAAAACACTTGAGTGATTAAATTAAACGCAATGTACATGAAGAAGGTGGCATTTTCAAAGAAAATGGGAGTTGTAACATTTCTGCTTTTCACAAAATTCTGAAGCACATTATTTAATTTGTCATATTTCCATCAATACAATGAAAAAACACAATAAGCTCAGCAGTCAATATGACAAATTCAAAGACCAACTTCGAACAGAAAATTTCCATGTGTTTGTATATTAATATAATTACACAACGACTTAGTTACGAGGTACTGAAAATCAATATCAATAATAATTCAAGCGATCCTATGCCACGCAATGTGGTGCGAAATGTCTTGTCGAAAAAATCTGTCATTTGTTTTTTTACTGATCTATACATGAAATGATAAAAGTAACTTTTTTGCATTACTGGAATTAATTAAACATTCGCAAAGATCCAGATTAACCCATGATCATGTGGCCCCGTTAGTTAGAGTTGGTACTATAAAATCATTACAGCCTGGCCTTATGCTGGTGACACAAAAAAGATGCCAAACGTCAGGACAAATGTAATTATTAAAACATTGAGTTTATACTGTAGTATTTTTGTTAATTTTAGGTTCATATATTTAGATTAAGTTATTTTTAGTGTATGTAATATTCTTTCCTTATTCAAAGGATTTTTTTCAAAAATGATTTTGATGGTTGTACATAGAATTTTATGTTTTTTTATAATAAATACAGTAACTTGTAAATGTTGCAATAATAGTGGAATGAAAATATTAATATGTGATTGCATTTGAAATTGAAGAAAATAATAAAACTTAATCCAACTGTTTAGTTGCATCACAATATATGTCACAAACTAAAACTATCTTAAAAATATCTTTTAATTATACATTATCAAAAACTGTTTGCGGCTCTTTTTACAATTTCCAAAATGCAATGCGGCTCTCGAAAACCCATAGGTTTGACACCACTGATCTATTCTAGACGATTCAAGCATTGCTTTGGGAAATAGTATCACTTCAATTAATTTGAAATAATCTCGCTATATTAAATACAAAATCGTTGCTATCATAAAGGTAAACCAATTCAGCCACTCGAAATATATTGGCCTTCACAAAGCAATGGAGGCAAAATTGAGAGTTCATGAGCTATGAACATTTGTTCTTTTCTCTGTCTTGAACTTTTCATACTCCACAGCCCCTATTAATTTTTTTTAATTTACCATGTGATGGTCATACATATCTTTAACTTGTATTTTATGTCATGATGTATTATCTCAATGTGCCAAACTATTAATTAGTGTGCATATTTGCTTCCAGATGACATAAATGTATTGTTTTGTTTATTACCTCAGCTTGGAGTATTGACAAGAAAAAGGTGCCAGTAAATTAGATAAAAATTTTTTTTAACTCTTTGTTATAATCAGAATTCACAATCAATAGGAATTTTAAACAGCCAACAATCAATGAGAATTATATGCGAAATCCCTCAAAATAAATTTGTCTTCTAAAATCGGAGGAAGGCAAAACATATAGGTAGTTTCCATCCACACAAGCATTTCAAGAAGACTTGCTCGAGCCAAACTAAATGAGCATCGTCAGGTGGTCGGTAAGGCTGCAAGTTGAATTCAGCCCTGCAACCTCCCGCATAGAAGATAATATTAATTAGTGGGCTATGAGCTAAATTCCTAAATTTAAACAAACCTATCTACGATGCATTATGTACCAGCAATGTTACCTACGATTAACTGAATATGTAATATGTCTAATCAATTCACCTACAAAAGCAAGTTCGATAGGTGCAAACTTGGAACTGTATGGAATTGTATCACAGCACAGTTTTGTATGACACCCTCTTTAAATGAAATTTCATTGATTAAGCGCAAACATTAAAATTACTAACTTTGAACTTTGTTATTATCTGCAAAATGTTCCACACAAATCTTTCCGCTATCGCGTTTGTAATCTTCTCTGATAAAAAAAAACGTCTATGATGTCCAGAATTGCTCTTTACAGCTTGCCTGCCATTCCATCTTTCCAAGTGAGAAAACTTCTTAGATATAGAGATTATTTGTTTCGTTACAGGCGCAAAAAGGCAGGTACTACACGTAAAAAAGACGCCGATTAGCAAAAGCGAGCGGAAAACGGACGCGAAAGGCGACGAGAAATATGTGCATTGGAGCGTATCATGAAATACAATCTTTCGCCTGTAGTCTTATGGAGTGACGTCAGAGTTGCCTATCATGTTGTTTAATGTCATTGGAAGAACAAACTATCCTACCTCATATGTCATTCCAGTCCAAACGTGCCAATAAGTGGTTCCTGGTGGCATTTTTGATCTGAGAAACGTTTCAATCAGAAGATAGTGCGTGGAATCGTAGATACTTGCATTTTTCCATCCGAATTTCATGCAAAGTTGTTCGACGGCGCTGAATGTTGTTCCATTAACCGGTATAACAGTTCGAAAACACTTTCCGTTGTACTTGACGTCACACTTTTCTTCGAAAATTAAATGGAAGTGAGTAACGGCAACGTGCATATTTTCAATCATAGGTCGCAGAAGACTGTTTATCAATGTGCAGACATTCGCGTATATAGTAACATCAATAAGCCGATATGGTATATACGGCATCGTGCACAAGAGTATCCAATGTATGATATCTAACTCTAGTGACCATAATCGATGTAATAATTCGGTAATAAGCTATCAGCCGTAATTACTGACTTCTCTAGAGCAGTGGTTATCAAACGGTGGGGCGCACCCCACAAGTGACGCGCAAGAAAAATTTTTGAGGTGAAGTGAAGCTAATAAAAAACAAGAGAGCTATGCTCAAATATATACACACGTAGCGCCACCCAGTGGCAATAATTTTGATGACGTCATAGCGAAAAAAAAAGTAATAGCCTTCTGGAGAAAAATTTTATCTTTAACCACTGAAAATATCAAAGCAATTGGTCCAGTATTCGAAGAGAAAAGCGATTTTTTAAAAATGGAGACGGAGACAAATAACAATAACAACAAGAGAGCTATGCTCAAATATATGCCCACGTAGAGTCACATAATTTTGATGACGTCATAGCGAAAAAAAAGTAACAGCCTTCTGGAGAAAATTTTTATCTTTAACCACTGAAAATTTCAAAGCAATTGGTCCAGTATTCGAAGAGAAAAGCGACTTTTTAAAAACGTGTCAAAGAACAAGGACAAGAACAACAACAACATAATATTGAAACGATCGTTATGTCCACTACGTGTCCAATAACAAAAAAATTTTAAAACGATCGTTAGGGCCACTAAACGTGTCCAATAAAAACCTTTGTTAGATTTGATCTTGCCCGCCCTCTTTTGGATATTAACATTTCTTTATTTTAGACATTTACGTTCCATTCGCGTATTTTTAACGTGTTTTTTGAATAAGACATACTTTCGCCTTACACTCAGTTATTTGTAGCTTATTGCTAGGTGGTTATTTTTGAGATAGAACGCAAGACGTGACAAACTTCTAAAAATGGGGCGCGCCTTAAAAAGTTTGAGAACTACTGTTCTAGAGAGAATATGAGACAGTCTTTGATTTGACCCCAGAAATGTCTTGAAAGGTTTGTAAGTACCAGTTCAAATATTGGAAATAAGAGTACATGCTTTGCTACAGCAATATAAACTTTGCGTTTGCGAAGGTTTGTGAGTTTATTATGTTTTCTTACTTTTTTTCGATGCTTTTTCCTAATTGCTCCACAATATCTGAAAATTATTTATTTGTAATTACCAGAACGGAATAAAACAAAAAGTCTTAGGGTATTTTATTGGTCATACGGTAAGAGTAAAATCAAAGCAAATATGACTCGTATAAAGCTATATCCAAGTAACATTACATAACATTATGTTAGACTATTGAAACGAAATAAACAAAAAAATATTTTACAGAATATTTTACTTTTGGGAACACCAGACGCTAGAAACACTCTTTCAATAACATCGTTTTACAGGTTTGTTTTTATTAGAGGCAAAGCCACCATGCATGCGAACGTTTTGCACTATTTTGAATATAAAAACCCAAAATAAATTAGTTATTGTCTTACCTGATCCGTCGTTTTTCTATAAAAACAATAATTAGCAATTCCATAAGAACTTGTTTGGTAATAAGGATATATGATATATATAATTCCTATATTTATTCAGGAAATGGAAGAATCAGTAGAAAGCATCAAACATGTTACACATTGGTTACCAGTCTGCTCGTTTACCAGGTAATTACTTATCGATCCTAAGATCGGTAAGTATGATGATAGGTATTTATCTGTCCGTATGTATGTCTGTTTGTTTGTCTGTTAGATGAACGCGATATCTCAAGAAGGCAAGGTTAAATCCAATTCAATTTTGCATGTGCATTCATCATAACTCGGACCAGAAGCCTGTTGATTTTGAATGAATTATGTCGTATAATTAGCGAGTTATTAATTAATTAGTGATGGGACGCGCGGTGTCACTATAGAGTCATGAATCGAAACCGCAGTTTCGACCGATAAGTTTTCGGTCTTCGACCGATATTTTCGTCTCGCAATTTTCTAAGTCTTCCTTAGCTCAAGGTAAATCAGTGGTGCCTTCCAAATCCCGTGTCCCGTGTTATTCATTTGAATGTCTTCGAGTTATGTCGAGTTTTATAAATTGTGGCCGATCGACTCAAGCCAAACCACAACACTGCTTTACATTTACTGTTGAGCGCTACCCAGGGCGTTAGTTCCTCGACTCTCCTTTAGTCGAACATTTCAGGATGGCATCTCAAGGACGTAATTAATAATAAAAACGTTTGAAGTCAAATACTCATTTTATTTTGATCTTTTGAACAGCTCCTTCAAAAAGAACAATACAAACTCGAGTATTTGACAACAAACTAACATTAAACTAATATAATCCCCACCTCGCAATCACCGACAGAAACCAATCGTCCTTTCACGAGTTTGTTGACGCAAACACCTAGGACAAATTTTAAAGCAAAATTACTTGAGGCTTTTCAATTAAATTCAACAAGTTTTCAATAAATGTGAGCGTTAGATGCACTAGAATGTATCTTACTCGACGCCGTTGTAGGATTTATAAATGATCCGGCAAAAGTTGTCGAAACTAAGAGAATGAATACGTTCATGATAAGGAACATTGCACTTGTCAATATAATTCAATCCTACTGAGTATTCTGAATATAAAGATAAAAAAATTTATTTCGATTTTCCTTATTTCAGTTATATTATGAGTTCGGGGACTAGCTAAGTGACTTCCGTAGTATTCGTACCTGAAATTACGGCCTAATCCTTACCTGGTACACATACTGCGTGCCGGTGTCTGCCATCTTTGTTCACAAACTACGGGAGTGCCAGATAGAAATACATTGTCTATACGTATAAGCATTGGGACTTGGCCAGTGATGGTTTTCAAAATTCAAAAACTGGTTTTCACTTTGTATTTAACCCAGAAGTGTGCAACCTACGGCCCGCGGACTAAATGCGGCTCTCAAGGAAAAATTGTGAGACTTGCTGAGCCGATTTTAAATGATTTGCGGCTCACGAAACGAGTTTTAAATTTAATTTGATACATGCGAGTGTTTCCAATCCCTGTGCGTTGCTCAACCTATACCTGAGTTCTACTTAATATCTATGCCTGTTATGTTGCATAATTAGCTAAACAGCTAACTTGTGCCAACAACGCATGTCACAAGATCAATGAACAAACTATTAGAAATCTACGTTAAATGTTTCTATCTGGTCATCCTGTATTAAAAGTTGCACGTCCCTGATCCACTAATAACAGGCGCCCGCAGCTCAGAAAACCAAGTCGGTTATTGCTCTGGCGACAAGATCGGGTTCGCTAATTATCACAACATTTTAAGAACGGGTTCGGCTGCGAATCGGGAATATGATCGTCGGTCAAACTTTATAAAGCCAAACTCATAATATGAAAATTTTTTTTTATTTGGAATGCACTACTTGACTTGACTTGTTTTTTTACCCGAATACGTTCAAAAAAGTATGACGTAATTTCTCAAATTTTGAAAAACAATACAATTTATAATACAATCCTATCATCTACGCTGTATATCCGCTACCGACTGACTGAATGCAACTTATCCCTAGCAAGAAAAAGCGGGGTATACTTCAAAGCTCGTTTTTAACGAATGCCCGAGCGAAGGATCCCAATATATTATTCTGTCAATCCGACTAAGCCGACCGCTTTCCTCGATCTAATCTTCACCATTTGCATTGTTATCATACTCTTCTTATGTGTAGTTTTGAAAACAATTCATAGCATCAATACGCGGGCAGTATGCACCGCGTAAGGTGCAGACAAACAACATTAAAAGATAAAGCAATATAGGGTCGGTGAGTCAGATTGTTGGCCTGGTTAGCTGTGGTATTGTCAGTGCTGCTGGTTTACTGCGAATAACCAACTCTGAATTTGTCAAGTCTCGCTCTCCACCTTATAAATACCTTAGCTAACAAATACCTCAGCTCAGATACCAGATAATAAGTAGAGGGTATGCTTTATCAAAAAAAAAAAACGTTGAAAATACGTGGATGGAAACGCAATTTTTAAACAATAAAACATGTAAATATCCAAAACACGGCGGGTAACATCAAATCTCACGAATATTTTAATTTTCAATCAGCCTCACACCCCCTAATAAGTTGTTTACGCCCCGCTGTGGGTCACGGTAGCAGAACCACTGTGTGAGTATATATATAACCACGTGTCGAATCCTCGTCATGATTAGGTGCGAAAAGATTGTTGGCCCCCTCGCGGTCATAGAGTGTTTCATGTGGCTGCAATTTACAGCTTCTATACCATTAATTACATGCATCTGAAACAGATAACTAGTTAGCTATTTTAACACCTGTTATGAACTGGTAACCAAACGAGAGATGGTTTCGCATGTAATAAGCCATCTATTTATCATACTCTCCCCCGGAACAAATATCAGTTTCTTATTCTTGTCTACGCGAGACATATCCGATCGTGATGCTTACGTTACCATGGTTCAGTGGATACCTACAAATCGTCGTGAAAATTGCATTGTCTTTAACAATGTACCAATCGATTCAAAATTTAAGCCTTGAAGATGCGCTTTGAAATGGCTAGAAGTCTCACGTTAGTTCTTTATTTTCGTTCGATGTCGTATGTGTCCCGATACTTCACTCCAAATTAGGAGCGGAAATCAAAAGCACAATTTCACCGCGTGGCGTACCATGGTCTTTTGTCCGCTGGGACGTCTAAGGGGACCTGCTAACCACAACCGTCTATTTTGGATTTTTTTTCCTCCCTTTCTGTGCAAAAAACTACTTCATTTGTCTAATTTTTAAATAGATCCGTTGGTAGCGTTATGCATTTGGCGCACTCTCGTTCATGCGCATGTGACGAAGTTGTTATATTTTCATAAATAAGTACTATATTTATAGTATCGTTAGAGTCATTGTATAATAAATACAATACGAGTAGTTATGCTACAGAAACTACAAAACAAATTTCTCCCCAAAACGGCAAAATCTATTCCTGGAGTAGAATTTCTATTGGTTTGAAAACGTTGAGTTACAACGTCGCTACAGAAAGTCAGTAAAAACATATGCCACAACTTTTTTCTATACAATTCTTCCTCGTCTTTAACTCAAATATTATCTCCAAATATTATCTCTGAGCAAGCAGCCACTGACATGAAAGGACATCATTTATTAAAACCTGTGGCGCTAAAAATACCTGATGGAAATACGTTAAAAGCAAAACTGGGTATTTACATAAACAGGGTTATTAAGAGTTATTAGAAACCGCTGCGCTGAATCGCTGAAATAAATAAGTTTTCTACAAACTTAAGATTTTCGTATTTCGTAGTACATCACAAAGACAAAGATAAGCCCACACTGCATCTTTATACGAAATAATTCAATCAGAAACGACACTCGTTCAGTTGTTTCCACCATCCACAGCTCGTGGTAAACCAGTGATTCAAGCGTGTCGCACTGATATCGGTTATCTTTGAGTCTTGACCCCTTGACAGTGAATGCTCTTACTCGGAAAAATTAAAATAACTTTTGTTCTCTCTAGCTTACGACTTTTTCGTATTTTCTGCTCTGGTCCATGTCTGTGCAAAATCTAGACATATGGACATCGCAGTTATAGAAAGTTGTTCAATGTTACCCGATATATGATCATAGAGACACGCCTGAGTGATCGCAAGCTATGAAAGAGGAACTGCTGTGCTTGAAACCTCAGTTTGTGATGGATTGAACCTGGTATTTGGAAGCGAACTGTATTCATAGATATCAAATTTAGTATTTGTTGATATATTGTAAATAGAAAAGAAATAGAAATAGAAAACCTACCAAGTCTATATCTAATATAAAGCATAGCTCTGTTGTCCCAATTCTCTTTCAGTTTTGAATGTTTTAGCAGTGCCAGTTCTGTCTATTGGCCAGATGCAGCAGGGTAATAGTATGGACAGATTTATTATCCCAATCGCCATTCAAATGGCCTCTTCTGTGGAAGGCTTTTGGGCTAATATATGGACAGCAGGTTAGGGATGATATATGGTCCGAATCACCATCTGGCCTCTTTTATGGCGGATATTGGGCTGCCATATACAGATATAGACAGCAGGTTAGGAGTAGTGATGGATTTATAGTCACAATGGTCATTTGAATGGCCTTCTCTATGAAGGGCTATTGGACTGCCATATAGACAGCGGATTAGGAATAGGAATGGATATATTGTTACAATTGCCATTCGAATGGCCTTCTTCCTAGAGGGCTGGCTATTGTATTGCCATTTGACAGCAGGTTCGATTATAAGGACCCCTACAAAAGGCCGAATCACCAATCAAGTGCAACATTCATGTACAGATTTGTGCTTTTTATTGACGTGTTTGAATGTCATCAACCTAAATGTAAAATGATAATAAATGTTGCCAAAAGTGAAGGGCATATTGGCCAGACAGATGATTTAGGCTGTCAGAATTAGTAAACCTCAATTTAGTTGATATCATCCTGTCCCCCTTTTAGGTCGAAAGAATGGTGATCACAAAGGAAATAGATATGGGTTTGATAATTTGATTTTAATAGCTAGATTTGTGATTCAGTTATACAAAAACAACATTTTATTTTTATCTTGGTTTTACAGCATTTTTTCTTACATTTCCTACTGATACTGAAACACTTAATGGCCTAATAATAGCTCCACGAACAAATATTACGTTCTCATTCATTTGAACGCTTAATAACCTGTTCCGTTATATCGGCTACTGACAGACGCTGTTAAAAATATGTTGAAATGAAATTTCATGTGGTTTAAAAGGATTTTTAAAAGTTGGATATTATAACACATTCAAATAATATGATATGACTGCAAAAGAATTTTAAAATTCAATAAATTTACCTGATATTTTCGGGTAGTTTTTTTCGTTCTGGCATTTGAGCTCAGTGTTTCTAGAGAGAAAATCGTCATGGTTATTCAAAAAATTTCGTTTCAATCCAAGTTTCAAAAACTAGGGGAAATTTAAAATCGGTATTTAATAATAAAGCCAAGATGACTAGAATGTCCTAAACTGTAACTTGCATACATGGCCATTTCCCGTCGTGCGATCGGGCTGATATTTCCGAAGACGCCTGAATTCTGAATTATTTTGAACGACGTATGTATAAAACACCACGATGATACTACATTCAACATGATACCGCGATATAGTGAAAAACCGAGTCTCAAATAGCTGTATTTGGATTTAGTTTCGAATACATTTTTATTATTTCTCGTCAAAATTGGCAACTGTTCTTTGATAAAAAAAAAAGGTAGAAGACTAGAGAGCATCGAAAGCACATTAACTTATGCGAACGGACTTGACAAATATTTCCGAAATTCAGGGCTTGTAATCAAAGTTTCATTTCAAACGTTGTATTCATTCAACCTCGCGATCACCCGGCGAGGCATCGAATCCGTCGAGGCTTCAATAGTAAGTAGTCTTGTGTGATCAGGACCAGCATTATGTGTTGCGGGGCCCAGTCAGGGTAGATCAAAAAATACTCATTGAGGAATTTTGTGATAAAAAAATTCGATTTTTGCGTTTACATATATATAAGTTGAAATGTTCGAAATTCAAACTTAATCGGGCGGGAAATTTTTTGAATTTATGTCGGTGACAATTTTTTGGACATAATTGGATTTGGCATTACACGGTGTCATCGTATCGTGAAAGAATATTCAGTAAATTTAACATGAATGTCCCAATATGCTTGCCGACAAGTATTAAGGTGAAGCCGACTCAAAGTCAACAAGGCGCTTTCCATTTCGAAGGGAATTCATCAAATGTTTATACAGGCTGCTCGATTGTCTGGAATTCAAAATATGACACTTGAAACTTGAATTTTCAAAATTATATATATTCGGACTTGGATGACCTGTGTTTTTATGGAATTGTGAATGGCGCATTAATAGCCTGGCATAGGAAGAGACAGCCCGAATTATCGCGCTTGCCCGAAAATATGACAGAGTGTTATTTCAATTTTTTTTTTTCGTTTACATGCCTCATTGATGTACCGGAAGCTGCAGTTTTATTGAAAATAATCAGCGAGATATCAGATGTGGTGGAACTTTGGGAAATTCAGGTCAGGCCGGTTAAAAAAGAAGTTATAAAATAATGACATTTATTGAAAATATTTAGCGAGATATCAGGTGTGGAATTAACGTAAGACTTTGGGCAATCCACTCCGGTTGATTCGGAAAGCAGTTAGTACGAGACTTATCATTTTAAAAGCATTCTATATTCGAAGAAGTCGGAATCTTCTGGTGTAGAGCCTATGGAGAGATTGGCTACTATTCACGAAGCCGCACAATAAATCGATAAAAAATCACATTATTAGTCTCCGAGTAAATTAAGATTACTTTTCAGTTATTTAATGACTCGGATGTATTTATTGCATCTTGAGTAATCATGGCAGTATTTTAACGAGTAATCTAATAGCTCGCAGAGCCTCTAGGTTTTTTTCACAGAAACAAGTGGACTCTGCACAGATCACTTTAGGATTCTATAGCAGGGGTGGGCACAATTTTTTAGTATAAGAGCCGCATGCTGCAAGTCAGAACTTTAAAAGAGCCGCAGAATTTGTGAATTTATTAATATTATCGAGATACTATGAACAGAAAAGAAATTCACACATGAGTCTAATAACAATAAATAGATAAACAAGGCAACACTGACAACTCTGTTTTCATCTTCGTACTTTCGTTTTATTTTGTACACATCGCACAGTAACTTAGACCAGTGCTCTTCAACCGGGTATACGGTATACCCAAGTGTATACCAGACCATAAGTTGGGTATACAACTGATAAAGGATATACGAAAGGTGTACAGCCTATAAAATATTCAATTGGATACAACAATGCAAACGCGGCGCACGTGAAATGTAAAATGTTATTAACGCTGAGAACCGACGTGAGCACGTTGTTACATCACAAATTATATAGATAATACGGTCATGTGTCTGGGTTGGTGATTCCGGATGCCATGCACTTTGTGTTTGATTTACGTTGAACATTATTCCCGTCGACGTTAAGGCAGTCAGTCAAATTTATAACTTGCGGTCACTAGCCTATTAGATTGCATAATGATATTGCAGTACAATATGTTCTTAAAATTTATTGTTTATTTGAGCCTTTGAATAAACATTGGTATTTGTAAGGTATACAAAGTTCTTGAAAAACTGTAGAAGGTATACTTCGATAAAAAAGGTTGAAGAACACTGACTTAGACTAACTAACCGCAATCAAGCTGCAATACCGCCGACGCATCAATAAATATTAACCATTGTGACGAAAGATTTGCTGACTCGACTGACTTAAATTCAACGCTACAGCGATTTTCATACTAAAACATAATTTGTTCTAATTATTGACGAAAACTTCTTTACGACTTTCAATAAATTAAAAAGAGTTTACATTAAAGTTTTTCTCTTAGTTAAAATTTGAATAATAATTTATGTTAGCGAGAAGAGCCGCACAAAAAGTTTAGCGAGCCGCGGTGTGCCCACCCCTGTTCTATAGCAACGATGGCGAAACGCGGATTGCGAGCCGCATGCGTCTCTTAAGAGTTTTTATGAGGCTCTTTTCGCTAACATAGAATCATATCCAAATTCAAATATAAGAGAATCTGTAGTGTAACAAGTTGTTTTAAATTTATTAAGCGATTGAAGAAGTGTTCATTCATGATTGCGACAAATTATGTTTTAGTATGAAAATCGTTGTAGCGTGGAATTTTAAATTTAAATCAGTCAAACGACAAATCTTAGGCACAATGGTCACTTGTTTGTTGCTGCGTTGGCGGTATTACAGCTTGAAGTCGGTGAGTCCCAGTCACAGTGCGATATGTCCCGCATTGCATTGTCGACATATTGCACAGATCTATTATATTATTACTTATCGATTTTAATCGGTAAGTATGTTGATAGGTATTTGTCTGTCTGTTAGTTGCACGCGATATCTCACGAAAGAGAGATTGGATCTGCTGCAGATTTTGCATGTGATCATATCTCGTACCAGACGCCTATTGATTTTTGGCGAATTATGTCGTATAATTAGCGAGTTATCAAATAGTTAGTGATGGGACACAAGGTGTCACTATGGAGTAATACCGCTGTTTTGGGGGATCCCCTAACTTTCGATCGATAAGTCTCCGGTCTCTGACCGATATTCTCGTTATTGGTATTAGACGTTTGGGTAAATTCTATGTTTGAGGTATTCTAATTTATAATATTAATTATTTCAAAATTATGCGGCTCTCACATATTTCTGACTTGCTGCATGCGGCTCTTGTACAAAAAATTTTTCCACCCCTTATCTATAGAATAGATCAAACTGGTGGTTCTCACACCGGTCACTTCCAGCGACCCTCAGCACTCTTTTAATAACGGGTTTCCATGACTTATTCTTAGATATTTGAGTTTTTCTATTTTTCATCAGTTCTGCAATCTGTTTACAGAACAAATCTATCCTAACACCAGGGAATCAGAGGTTGCATCAACAACCACTGAGTTCGGAAATACACAAAATGGCGTTCCTAGACTGGTTGAAGAAGGTGTGGAAAGTAGGGTATTCTTCCGAGTTACATCATAATTTAAATCACGTCATCGAGGAGGACGTTGTAACACTTTGGTACTCGTTAGATACATAGACTATCTCAACTGCGCGAGATATATTCGATCGGAAAAATAGGTGACAATTGCCCAACACATTTTATTTTTTTATTTTCGACATCCCAACACTTCATATACGCACACGATTTTATTACACACGCTTATCGGAAGAAGTCGTGCACCATTTGTACTATAGACCAATAATTTACTGTTTCTGATATCCCTAACTACATATATTTATACGATTAAAACTAAAATTGATATAAGCTTTGTCTGATACATGTCAAAAAAAGTTATTCCAAAATAATTATATTGCAAAATGACATAAATTAACCTAAATGTGTATGCTTCGGCAGTTTTGATGAAGCTTTCCTAGTACTTATTGATTTCGATCGGTAAGTACGGTATGTTGATAGGTATTTGTCTGTCTGTTTGAGGTTGAATCTGCTCCAAATTTTGCATGTGCATTTAGCATATCTCGAGGCCTATTGATTTGGATGATTTATGTCGTATAGTTAGCGATTATTAGTGAGGGGTCACGCGTGTCCCTATTGAGTCAGAGCGAAGGATACACACACTAGACCGATAAGTCGGCTCTCAATCGCTATCTCGTTTTTCCGTTATCAATTTACACGAATTATCCTTTAGTTGGCGTCGGCATAGCACTCGGATGGGATTGAGCATCATCTGGTCCAAACTCTTTACAAAAACGTCGAATTATCAATCAAAGACGTCGAGAATCCCGATTAGAAGTCTGTATGCAATAGGTACAAGACTCTATTTCCAAGGAAGTGGAAGTCGCCATAAATATAAACAAATTTTATAAGCCTGTCACTGTAAATAGGACTTTGAGCGCTCCGTAGTATTTGTGTACCAAGATGACGCACATCCTGGACCTAACCAGGTACATGTATTATGTTCAGGTTGTGCGCCATCTTGGTACACATACTTCGGGGGCGCCGGTCTATGTACAAACACTACTTAGTCTGGCGTTGTTATAATTTTATATAAGACGCAACATATACCTTTCACCCCGGATAAGGCCTTGTACAAGCAGTCGCTGCTAGTTATTTAGTTACTATATTTCTTATGTTCAACTTTCCCGCCCTCTTTCAGGTTCTGTACTTTAAAGCAGTAATTCCCAACCTTTTTCCTTATATTCACCCGTTTGCCCTATTCCCCCCTCTTTCCATGTACAACATAAACTATACCGAATATCTGTGTATTTTCCCCCTCCATGACATTCTTCGTTGCTTTAATTACGTTGCATACGTTGCTTTAAGTATTATATCTTGGGTGAGGTGGTGAGCATTGGGTTTCAGCCTGTAGGTTTTAAACAGCAAGACATCGCGGCCACTAATTAGCGCTCTAATCCTTCACTTTTAAATCAGCACTCGACAGCAAGTACGTTACGAATCCACCAGGTGTTGATAAAATCGTAATTTCTGTCCAGCGCTGACTAACTAATTAGGTGAGACTGTTGAAGATATGTAAGATGTTGGTTTCAATCCGCAAAACGTTCAAATATGACAAATATATTTTTGCAGATATAAATCTACTTCCTATTATACCAAAAACGATGGTATCTTAATAACATATCACGGGAAAGTTGAAAATAATTGACTGCTCGTTTTTTACTTACGATACAAAACGAGTTAATAACTTTCCAATATTGTGGTAACATAGGAATGTTCTTAGAATGTCGTGATAATCAGCAAACCCGTTAATTTTTTTTTTGGGGGGGGGGTCAGAAGTTAGATGACGCGGCTGCAAATGGGTAGCCTGTATTGCAGTTGACGACTGGCGTTATATTTGACCTTTTTCAAAAGCTACCATAATTTTTGTAATGTGTTCATGTTGAAAAAAAGAATCTTCCTTCTTGTCTTCTAATAATATATCGTACGGTTGTTCTCCTTCTTATTTGTTATAATAGAGCTTTAAAGTCAAATAAGGAACCCGTTGTTAGTGAGTTCGATACATAAAGTGAACCTGTCCTAAAATTTGGAATTCCGCCGCTGAATTATAAAGATTTTGGAAATTTCATTTCGAAGTGAGATAGGTTGAACCAAAACTTGTTTCATTTGCTTCAGATGAGGGCAGAGTGTCAGAACAGTGCCCGGCTGTTAATGAGGCAGAGCCAATTCGAAATCCAGCAGATTTAGAAAAACGCCGAGAGCAGATTAACGACGATAAAGACCCCCCAGAACCTTCGCAGCCTCGTGAGTAACGTGAAGTACAGGTTAATCTACTGTAATCATAAAAAATCTGCATTTGTTGCGCGATTCAAATCCGTAACTACTAATCTACAACCCCGATGGTATGTGTGTAGTATGAAAATATAGGTGCTCCTGAAGTTTGTGCACCAAGATGGCGCACAACCTGAACAAATTATGTGTGTCAGGTTGGGGGTTATCAGGTTAGGCGCCATCTTGGTACACATACTTCTCCGAAATAAATAGGCGCTTCCATTAATTTTAAAATCTTTTGCGCTAGATAATTTAAACCAAACTTTTTATATGCCGATACTAGTTTCTTGGTGGACAAAATCAATTAGAGGATTCAAAATGTTAGGGTTGCTCAAGATAGCTCTTATTTGATATGTGAATTCATATGGCGCGACTGGTCTATGACAAGTCTAACTGTAATGTTGGTTAAATGTATCAATTCCAGCACACCATCCATTTCTCCCCACCTCACCTCGGATGTAATAAATTTGGCACCTATATGTTGAACTAGAACAATTTTGGTTAAAGCTGAAACACAGTATCTATCCACCAATCAGGAATGCTTATATAAGCACTGAATAATGTGTGAACAAAGCAACGTGAGGCCTTATATGATTGAGCACCAAACTAGCGGTTTTTGTCCATTGGTATATCTTATTTTTCGGCTGTTCGACTGATTAAAGGCAGGGAATAAGCTATTATATTTGGCCGTTTGATAATAATCTGACCTTGGCGCGGTATTTAAAAAAAAATTCAAAAAAGTTGAACAATATTTTTCAAAATGGGCCATTAGCCCACAAGGGTGCTACGAACCGGTTCTATGGGGCCACAAGCAAATGTTTCACCAGGCATTAAACAATCTTTCGCCTACTAACCTGACTAAATCGTGAAAGCTATTTTGCTAATCGTGGTGATGCTTGCCATTGTAAAACTGTGATTGTAATTTTGTTAGCTGAAGATGTAACAACTAATTTCTTTTCCAATTTCAGTTCCTCCACGCCAACCAAATCTTCAGATTTCAGGAGGGAATTACAACCAAACTGCAATCATGTCAGCATACACAAGTTATAATTCAACTTCGGGTTCCATTCAAGGTAATTTTCAAATAATTTTATGAGGTGTATTGCAGGATCTATACAAGAAGTCACTGGAATGCAATGAGATACCGTGATTAGACCGATTTCGTAGAGTTCACAAAGCCAGATATAAATTGAGCGGGGAAGCGGGCATGAAGGTTGAAACACATTTTAACTCCAGCCAGATCCCTTTATACTGAAATGTCAGAATTGCTATGGCTTGAAAGAATCAACCCTCTTCAATGCGACATTGTACACACAAATCATTACAAGCTGGTTGATTTAACATTTGGGCCGAGGTCTTCAACGCACAATGATATTTTATCTAAGAGTCCAACCACCATGACGATGTTATATGTTATAAAATTCGTGGGTGCGATGGCCAAGTAGTGCAAAGCAGGAACTTGACAATATTGACATTGCCGGTTAAACCTCGGGTCCGAATACCATTCCTCCATTTTTTTTTAATCCTGAGCCTTGTTCGCTGCTTATGAAGCCGCTCACTAATCAACATGAAACTTGTTTCTTTACAGACGGGCCAAATCAACAAAACCCAAACGACAACTAGATATACCGGATACACCTGACCAACGTTTCCCACTCTGCATACCATGGCTACGTAGCTTCCAAAATATTTTACACGAACTGCACGTGGGATTTTAAAATTCATTACTCCAGAATTATGTGAACCAAGAATCCTGTATATTGTAGAATGCAAATTTAGATTAAAGTTCCGCAATCGTATGTTTTTGTTTTTCTATTTCATCAAAAATTCCTCCCTGGAATAAAAAAAAACGGACCTCCTGAAGTATGCGCACCAAGATGACGCCTAATCTGAACTCAGGTTGTATACCAGGTTAGGGTTCAGGTTATGCGACATCTTGGTGCGCATACTTCAGGAGTACCAAAAAAACGTTTTCAAATCATTAGAATAGAATTCAGGGGTCCTTTTTGGTCAAGAGCGCCATAAAATATACATATTTTCATTTGCATTTCCGTGCGAGCCATATAACATTTCTTTACTTAATCAGGCCTGAAATGTTTACTCAAAAGTCAACACATACAATGTCAATATACATTTAATGTGATTTCTGATGCTGCATGTAGTCGCTGCGGGCCTTGAACGGTTGCTAACATGCAGCCCAAGTTGAAATCTACGATACTCATCACCCTTTTTCGTTTAGGCATCTCCGTAGTGTTTTTAAAACTCTATCGCTTTGTGATGTCACAATATATGTTCCAGAATCCCCTTGTTTGTCACAATGCCTGTCTAGTAAATATCTTACATAACATAGACATGTGCTGGGCGCGTGTTCTGAAACGTATTGGGAATTTCCTGCTAAATTCGGCTATAAAAGAGTTTGGGATCTCGTAACAATAGTAAGCTTAGTCTTAGAATATTAGATTTTTCTGGGAGCCATATGCCGTCACCAAAAGAGCCATAAATGGCTCGCGAACCATGGGTTCCCGACCCCTGGAATAGATAGTCGCGTTACTTAGTTTGTACTTTGTGTAAGAAAATAATGAACGACCCTTTTGGTTTACTTATATACATTGGAGAACTCAATTTTTCATACGGCGCTTATCATGACTTTCGTTTCGAATTCCACAAGCAGCCCTTATATCTAACGATACGCGAGTAGGTATTATTACTTGGAAAGAACGAAATCTCTTCGCTTCGTTAACCCAATTTATCAAATCTTTTCTAAGATGGCTTGGCACGGGATCTCAATAAGAGATTGTAATCTGTGACAGCCACACAGTTAAGTTTAAAGATTTGACCACTAGGCTATCGTGACGACCATTATAGCGTGTTGCTTACAAAAAAATGCATTTTTATTTTACATTCATTCGTAATCATCACTGTATCGATAGCAGCATAAAAGATTTTTTTCCTGGTATAGGAGTCCAAAAATTGTGTTTCAAAACTGCTTAGTGTCTGGATTACTAATTTTTATTTTGTTTTCTTTTGTCTTCAATGCAATCAACTTGAAATATTTAAGGATTGAATTTATGTTCAAAAAATATTTTTTGCCAAATCGCTATGTGACGTCATTGTTACTATTCTCACTTGTTGAGAGCGATGACATTGTTTAACTGAAGAAAAAAACATGAAAATTATTTTAACAATTTATAGTTTAGATCGAAATAAATCTAATTTTTGTATGTAAGTATGGTTAAAGTTCATTTTTTTTAATATCAGGGGGAGGGGTCATTGCTTGCACCCCTGAAAAAAACATTCTGTCAAACAGGACACAGTATTGCACAAAAATCATCGATAGTCGAACCACTGTTTCTTGAAATATGTTTCCCTTGGAAACTCAAATACTATTGTTTATGTTCCTATAAGTTCAATTAGAAATAAAGAAGCTTTTGTACGAATCCCCGCATAAAAAGCAACACAGCAAACGCACAAAAAGAAGAAAATTAGTAATCATCCATGTAGGGTTGGGAATTTAGATTGTGCTTGATATACAAATTTTAGATTTTTTCTAAGCCATACTAGATAATTGCTATTTTTTAACAATTTAGTTCAATTACTAATTGTATTATTTCAATACGCAACTTTATATTTTATCTTTTTCTGCTGATATGTAATTTCTTCTGAACTTGTTAAAAGCTTTTCATTTTATTCTAGAAGCTGCGTATATTGTAAGAATTTATATGCTTTTATTGCAAACTTAGATTAACGTTCCGCAATCGTATGTTTTCAGTTGTCTGTTTCATCGAAAAATCATACCTGAAATAAAATAAAAAAAACGTTTTCAAATCATTAGAATAGATAGTCGCGTTACTTAATTTGTTATTTGTGTAAGAAAATAATGGACACCCTTTTATTTTTTTTGTCACTTATATACACTGAAGAACTCAATTTTTTATACGACGCTTATCATTGATTTTCACTTTGAAGGCCACAAACAGCCCTTATATCTAACGATAGCAGCATAAAACTTTTTTTCTGGTTGTGAAAAAATTGTGTTTCAAAACTGCTTAGAGTCTGGATTACTAATTTTTATTTTGTTCTACTTTGTCTGCGATGCAACAACTTCGAATAATCAGGGATTGAATTTTATTTTCATAAATTCTTTTCATTATTCATAATAATTATTCATTAGGGGTTGAAAATGAAGATTGGAAATTTAAAGTTATTCCTAACCCCAACTGGATAATTGCTATTTTTTAATTTTGAAACGTAAGAAGAGATGTTTTTTTCAATTTCACATTTTTGCATTAGTGGCGGGGCTTCATCTATTCCTCAAATCCTGTGTTTTACGTACTAATTATATTTGATGAAATGTTTCATTGAAGCATAAAAACTGAATCTCGGTTCTGTTTTTAATGTTTATTCAACAGGACGGCGTTTATGTTAGAACAAGACTATTGTTTCTAACAAGTTCCCCTAGTAACGCGTAGCGGGAGACACCTTAACTCGATTCGCATTAGACCCAGGTCAGCATTCATCAAGGATTCGAAGTGAGAAATTTTCGGATTCGTCTGTATTTCATCGCAAGATAATAATGTGAAAAAGGATTGATAAATTCATTGAGTTTTTTTCTGATAATCCCCCAGTGAGACTCAGATACCCGTGCCCCGGCATCCGACTATATCAGGGCTACACTTCAATTGACTCATCACTCAATCATGAAAACTAGACCAGAAAACTAGTGGAAGAGTATTAACAGGATACTCTCCTGACCGTAACACCAACAAAAATACAACAACAAATAATAATTGAATGGAAAAACAGACAATCGGAAAGTTGGTGATTGGGCAATAACGGATAGTACCGAGTTCTGGACTCAATCACCTAATCAATTATCGCTAAAGTTCGCAGAAAAATGATATAAAACACGGCACTAAAATGTTGGGCCAATGCTACCGTTATTCCATGGAACAAGAGTTGGCCGTATGTAACCTGATCCGGTACTCCCGAAGTTTGTGAACCAAGATGACGGACGCTGTTCTATTACGAGTTCGGGTACTAGCCAAGTGACTCCTGTAGTATTTGTACTTAAAATTATGGCCTAACCTGGTACACATACTATGTTCCGGTGTCCGCCATCTTGGTACGCACAATTCGGGAGTACCCTTAATCGGAATTCAGAAAAGACTACTGCTTGTCAGAAGTTGTAGCAACTCTGCTGTTTTACTTTAAGACGAGGGCTTGCCCTGCTATAAATAAATTAGCTTTTATAGTCTTAAAAACTGCCCCTCTCGACGACAATAGAATTGCAAAAACTCAAAACCAAAAAATAGTCTAACAAACGTTTAGATAATGCTCATAATTATCTTACTCATGTTCTAGTAGTATTTGAAAATTCACGAAGATCATTTTGTTTATTTGTTTTACCTACGTTTTAGATAGCTAGAATTCTGCTGATGAACCACTTTTTCTATATTTCTGACACATTTGCACATCATTTCTGTCTTTTTACCTCATTAAATCTTATTCTATCTCGACTATGGGCTAAGCGACTATAACAGTGGTCTCAACATGTGTTACGCGTATCAATAGTGATTTTCAAGTGGTACGCGAGCAGCTTTGAATTATTGCAACAATTAATGTCGGCTAAATTATGTCGACAACAATTTATCTTCAGATTTAGATTCAGATATTTTATTTCGTCATGCAAGAATCAATATGAGGCAAAAGAAAACACAGTAAACTGAAAAAACGAAAAACATTGATTCATTGCAATTGACGCGGGGTCGCGAATAAACTCAATGAGTCATCTAGTCAGCGACACCTTGGTGCTGTATTAAAGCAGCAAATATAGCAATGAAGCATATATAAAACAACAAAAAAACGAAAATTTATCTTCAGAAATACACAAATCATTGAAATACAACAATAGATTCGAAATAAAATACACAAATCATGGAAAGACAACAGTAGATTCGACAACAAAAAGGAAAAATTATCTTCAAAAATACAAAAATCATGGAAAGACAACCATGGATCCGAAATAAAATACACAAATCATGGAAAGACAACAATAGAGCGAAATAAATTTAATTGTAAATAACCACACTACAAGAACCGCCAGTACGATTCATTCAGAAGAAGGCTCATTAGCGACATCTGGTGTTTAGGATGCGCATCGATGAATTCAAAACATAAAATAATGCTGAATCATACGACCCAGCACTAAAAAGGACTGAAGTAGCGTCCCAAGCAACTGGGTTGCCATTTGATAGCTATTATATGTGGAAAGTAGACGACGACGAGTTACCGGCACAGTAAAGTGAAGTACCGGTATGCACTATATAAATTGCACATGAGAAGTTGGCAAAAAATGACATAGTAAAACATGAAACAGCCAGCAAAAGAGGTACAGCATTCAGCTGTCATAAAAAAAAAAATACTGGATACAGCTGTTCAGTAGAGGAACATGGATGGGTACAGGATACTTACTTATAACGGAACAAGTTAGACTGCTAGCACCTATAAGCTTCAAGGTATAAAGTTTTCAATTTACATTTAAAAGAATTATAGTTACTTGTACGAATTGTTTCAGGAAGCAAATTCCATAACTTTACTCCAATGAACTTGATTGAGCGTTGGGTTAGTTTGGTAGAAAAACGATTCAAAAAATATGAGCAACTGGTCGAGGACCTTGTTCCATATGAGTGAACATCACTCTGCTTCATAAAATAATTAGTGAATGCAGGAGGGAGTTTTTTGTTGTGATGTTGGTGCATTATTTTTAGCACTTCGAATTTATGCATATCCACCATTTCAATTATGCGAATACTGTGGTAAATAGGAGTCAGATGAGTGCGATAACCGACATTGGAGCGCGAATTGCTCGATTCTGCATAATTTCAATATTACGTAATAAATTTTTATCAGCCAAGCCCTATGCAACAATGCCATATTGAATGTGTGACTGAAATAAGGAGTGGTAGGCCATACGTAAAGTTGTGAGTGAAGCAAATCGCCGAAGTCTATATAGTATCCCAACTGACTTGGATAGTTTAACAGCCAGTTTGGATATTTGAATGTCCCACTTCATTTTGTTATCAATATGAATACCCAGATATTTATAAAAATTTACATTTTCAAGTTCTGTGTCATCAATTTGGACTACTAAACCATTTTGTGCTTTACTTTTAGGTGATATTAACATAGTTTTAGATTTTTTTATGTTTATTGTTAATTTGTTTGATCGCATCCAGTTTGCTACTTTAGCAATTTCAGTGTTCACCCTTAATTCAAGGGCTGCACAGAATTTGTCACTGTCAAGAAGATTGGTATCATCTGCAAATAATTTCGAGAATAATGAAGAACAATGAGTTATGTCATTAACATATACTAAAAATAACAATGGACCCAAACAGCTACCTTGTGGAACTCCATGAGTCACTGGTAAGGGAGGAGAACAATAAGAACCTACTTGAACATACTGTGATTAACCGCTTAAGTAACTAGAAATGAGTTTATTTGCTATACCCCTAATACCATAATGTTTCAACTTGTAAATCAGGATGTCATGATTTACAGTATCGAAAGCTTTTTTTAAGTCTAAAAAAGTTGCACTAACATACTCTTTCTTTTCTAGTCTATCATAGATAAATGATGTAGTGTCTAAAATAGCATGCGATGTGGAATGACTGTTTTGAAAACCGAATTGAGATTTATTTATGACATCATATTTATTGAAAAAACTAGTAAGCTTCTTATGAATCAGGCGTTCAAAAATTTTATCAATCGTTGAAAGGATTGATATCGGTCTATAATTTGACACGAGTTTTTTATTTCCAGATTTTAGAAGAGGAATTACTCTTGCAATTTTGAGAGAAGAAGGAAATATGCCGAGAGAGAGTGAGCAATTGAAGAACTCTGTCAGACATGGAGCGATGAGGTCAGCAACTAATTTACGAAAGCGAGCTGGAATATTATCTGGCCCAACTGCCTTCCTATCCTTCAAATTTTGAATTTCTACCAACAATTCATTAGAAGTAGTCGGACTCATAAATATAGACTGGCTCAGAGGATTATGAAGAAGTTGTTTGAAGTTACCCGAATCATTAGAAAACTTTTCTGAGAGGCTGGACCCTATGGTTGAGAAGTACTCATTAAATTCAGTTGATATCGAAAAGTCATCTTTGGTGATACTGCCATTTTTCAGATAAATTTCCTTAACTTTTTGTCTTGATTTATTATGCGTGTGCGTAATTTGGTTAACTATTTGCCATGTCGATCTCGGGTTGCCTCTGTTTTGGGCAATAAGGTTTTGGTAATAAATTTGCTTTGCTCTATCTACAGTTCTTGTCAGAACATTCCGATAATTTTTAAAGTACGAGCATTGAGAGCTGTTACCCCTAAAAAATGAGATTTGAATAATTTATTTTTGCGTCGAATACAAGTAATCAATCCTTTAGTTAGCCAGGGTTTTAGTCTTATCCTTTTCTGACGACGTGAAAGTGGTTGTAAAGGGGCATGTCGATCAATCAAAGAAACAAATGATTGTACAAATTCGTCAAAGACACTGTCAAAGTTTTGTGAATTTAATTGAAGTGTGGTGAATTGGTTGTTAAGAATGCCTATTATATCTGAACGGAAAGTGTCCAGAGAGAATGTCGACATGTTCCTTGACAATACACAATTATTAGAAGATGTTGGTTTTATGCCATTCAGGCAACACATAATCGGAAAATGGTCTGTGATATCAGACAGAATGCCATAAGAATTGATTTGTGAATTGCTCATATTAGTGTAGATGTGGTCAATTAACGTTGCTGAAGTACGACTTATTCTAGTGGGCTTTGTTATCAGAGAAGTGGCATTATGCGACATAAGCATGTTAACATAATTGGCAACTTGGGTATTAGTAGAAGTTGAAAATAAATTAATATTAAAATCCCCTACAATCAAAAAGTGTTTATGTGCCATTTTGGATAAAGATGTTTCAGATGCATCAGTAAAATTTAAAATATCATTGCGAGGATGTTTATATATAACGCCGATTACTAGGTTATTGCAAGTGTTCACCAAACTGACTTCGAACCACAGATTTTCGCAGTTAGAATAATTATTAAGGTCAACCTCTGTAATTTCAGAGTAGGTGATATCATCTCTTATAAATGCACCAACACTACCTGCTTTAGTGGCAGATGGCGCATGTATGAAGCTGTACCCATCAATAGGTATATTAAAATCATGGTTATCAGATAATTTTGTTTCACTTATTGCAATTATGTGTGGAGGTGAAGAAAAATTGGATAGAAGCGTGGTCAATTTGTCTAAATTTTTCATGAGGGATCTGATATTCACATGAAAAATACTTAAGTTTGGCAGGGTTTGAATTGAATATAAATTTGCAACTTCCACATTGTTGCATGTGACAGAATTATCAAGATGATCTAATTGGAATTCACTATTACTAACACTACCACAAGCCATTTAAAAGGGTGAGAAAAAAAAATTGTAAGGAAAATACAGAATCTAGGAAAGTCATACATATATAACTATCAATAATTGTATAGACATACAACTGAATTATTATTATTATTACGACCAGACATAAAATCAAAAAACCTACTTGATAAATGAAAGGTCATCTTCAGTGACAATAGGGATGGTTTTGGTCATTGAGTTCTTTTTAATGAGTACCCTCCCATTGTGCGTCCATAAAAATTTTATGTCCACAAATGACTTTGAGATCTTTGGCTTTATAAAATAAGTCTTTATTAGTGTCGGTTAAATTTTCCACAACAAAAATTTTGGTGGATGATGGTAATTGTGGAAAATCGGTACGAAAGTTGGCTGTTCTTAGCTGACGACGATTTTTTAAAATATTATGTCTGGTTTTTCGGTTGACAAACTTTACAATGATCGGTGATGGTTTCTTCTTGTTGTTTTTCGACATTCTGTGGCAGTTCGATATGTCGAATGGTTGAAGTGATACATTGATTCGAGCTGCTACTTTCATGATTATGTTTTCGCAGTCTTCATCTGTGGAGTATGGGATGTTGTGAAACTCTGGATTATCTAGTCTAGATCTGCGCTCTTGATCTTGCTGGCGTTCGGTCAAGATATCTATTTCTTCTTCAAGATCTTCGACGATAAGTTCGAGTTCGCGAATTTTTTTGTTATTTTTTGCTGTTGTGTTGTTCAGATCCTTATAGTTTGCACTAAGGTCATCAATTTTTTTCGAAATGAAGTCCTGGCTTCTTTTAATCTCTCCCACTTCATCTTTTATTATACTGAAGGAGGACAGCTGGGTTTTCACTTCCTTCAGTGATTCATCCAGTGATGACAAGGACTGCTGGATGCCAGTGCTGGTGGGAGTGGTTAAAGAGACATCTTGAGCAAGTCTTTCCAGATGTTGTTCAATGATTGCTGGTATTTCTAAACGCAATGTTTTTAATATTGTGCTTTCAAGCACTGTAACCAAATCAGAGATTTTACTCTTCGACAATTTTGGCACTGTAAAAGTACCACCAGCTTGTCGATCGGTGGGGCTTTTGCGTTTTGGAGGGTCTGGAGGAACATCACAAGATTTTGAAGTTGACATCTTTCCAGATCCTAAACCACAGGTCGTAACTGATGTTTTGAGTTCAAGTTGGTAGGTTTACTCAGACGTTTCAATTATTCATTGCAGAGAAGATATTATAGACCATAGTAGGTACTCCATTAATATAAGTTCATAAAGATATATCTGCAAACTTAATCAAATAGCGAACCTTCCACACTGTATGTGTATGTATTCGCTGAACGGCATTTGTGAATGTTTTCACGGGCATCAGTTTTCGTAATCATTCAACAATGACTTAACAATTGCAATTTTTGCAGCCGCACAGACAGATTTTCAAGTATGGTTGCAATGTAAGCATTGCCTCGTTTTTGTAGTTTCGCGTGTTATTTGCCAGTGTTTTCAGTTGTGTTTTCAAAAAAAATATTAAATATCTCAATTGTCGATATGTCTTCAAAGAAGCATTAAATTAGTTGCTGTAATCATAAATGAGTCTTGCAAATTCTGCGATAAACTAGTCTAAACTAAGCTACTAGTGCCTGTAAGCGGCACATGGTTGAATAATTTTAATAAAAATAAGTATTTCAAACACGTAAACCAGCTTATTAGCGACAACACATCAAAACGCTCTCAAAATAAGTATAAGAGTTTTTGCAATAGTAATAGAAAGAATTTTTCTGGGGCCAAAGGTTGGAGAAACGTCTTTGGTGTCCAGTCTTAAGAGATCGCCCTCGCCTGCTATTGTCCATGAACAAATAGAGATGGGCATGTTTTAGTCCACCTTGCAAAATAGTTTACAAAGGATGTAGTGCCACATTATAAAATACTCCATAACGCGTGTCTTGTGCCTTTGTTCCCCACGCCAAAAAAGGGACTTTTTCGGTGGTACGTGGCCAGAGTAAAAACAGTAAAGTGGTACGCGGTCAGTAAAAGGTTGAACACCACAGGACTATAAGCATAACCAGCATCTTTAAAAAAAAAGGCACCAATATTTCAAATAATATATTTACTTTGTCAACTGAATAAATGGCATACATACTTCTAAAATCACAACAACCTTAATGTTTAATTCGTCTCGTCCCTGTTTTCAAATTGTTTAAGCAAACCCAACTGTAACACTAATATTAGGTCGGCTTAGCCGAGCTTCACATCACCTTTTCGATATTATGAACCCTACTTACCTCACCCACAGTACCAAATCACAACGACTGTGCCTAACTTTGTTGAATGTGTGGGTTTAAATGTAATAGAACCGTGTCCAGATACAAGCCCTCTTTACTTCTGAGTTATTGCGCCTAATTTCACTGAGAGATGAGTCTCCTTTACTTCTGAACGACAGCGCGTAAGTTTGCTCAGATAGACGTCTTCTTTACTTCTGAGTGAGTGCGCCTAATTTTGCTCAGAAATAAGTTTCCTTACCATATGAGTGAGTGCTCGCAACTTTACTCAGAGATGAGTCTTCTTTACTTCTGTTTGAGTGCTTGTAACTTTTCTCAGAGATGAGTCTCTTTTACTGAGGCTCAGAGATGAGCCCTATTCTTTTTTAGGTGAATGCAGAGAGGAGTCTCTTCTACTTGCTCAGAGATGAGTCTCCTTTACTTCTGGGTGAGTGCCTGTAACTTTTCTCAGAGATGAGTCTCTTTTACTGAGGCTCAGAGATGAGCCCTATTCTTTTTTAAGTGAATGCAGAGAGGAGTCTCTTCTACTTGCTCAGAGATGAGTCTCCTTTACTTCTGGGTGAGTGCCTGTAACTTTGCTGAGAGTTGAGTCTCAGTTACTTCCGAGTGAGTGAACGTATATTTACTCAGAGCAAAGTCTCCTTTATTTATGAGTAAGTGAATGTAACTTTGCTAATAGATAACTCTCATTGACTTCTGTATGACCGCCTGTAACTATCTTTGCTCAGAGAGTTGTTCCCTTTACTTCTTAGTGAGTGTTCGGAACTTGGCGCTCAGAGTTGAGTTTTCATTATTTTAGAGTAATAGCTTAACATTTTGCTCAGACATTTGCTTAGTTTTTATTCTGAGTGAATATATCTTTGCTGAGAGATGAATTTCCTTCCTTTCTGAGTGAGTTCTCGTGACTTTGCTTAGAGATACCGGTAAGTGTTTTTTACTTTTAAGTAAGTGTGCTTTTTTGATTTGAGATGAGTCTGCTCTACTTCTGGGTGAGTGCCTGTAACTTAATTTAGAGATGACTCTCCGTTACCTCTGAGTGAAGGCTCATAATTTTCAGAGATGAGTTTTCTTGACTTCTCAGTCAGTGATCGTAAATTTGCTTATAAATGAGTGTCTTTTACTTTTGAGTCAGTGCCCGTAACTTGGCTGAGAAATTAGTCTTT